CAAATATAGACTAGTTAGTCCCAAGTTTTGTTTTCCATTCACTAGTAATGTGTTACTATTTGCCAAAATGGTACAAGGGCACCTTAAACCCCCTTCTCACTCAAACCCTCAGTTTAAAAGAATAATGTAAGTGCTTCTGTTTAATATTAGGCTTTGTAAAACAAAAATCCACACAATCACATTTGACTTTCAAACTCAGCTCACCCTGTATCCCCCTTTTATAACTGAATTAGATGCTTGTAATCATGTTAAACTCTCAGGAAGCTGTATTGTTTATAACAGCATTTCCCAAACCTTGTGGGTTTATGTCCCACATTAGCATAGTCAGCTACCCTAATGCCCCCACTACTTTATCACCACTGTTACTTCCCCAGCAGCAACCAACAGCAGGGTTATCAGGACAACCAAAGGCTGTCATTCACACGCATCCCACCGAGGAACATTTCTTGCTCCCTCCCGGCAACATCCACACTTTGGGGATGCTGATTTACAAAGAAGGTTGCAATTCAAAAGCTTAATAAAACAGACAGAGAGGAAAGAGTAAAACAATTCTGTGGGGGCCCAAAGCTGATTACTTGAAATATTAGCATACATGCCCAATGCAGTGGTTGCCAACCTGCACTGGCTAATGAGCAATTATAGTGAGTCATTATACTGAACAAATGCACTGTGGGCAACATCATACTCTGCTCTCCCTAGATGCGTCTACACGAGAGGCTAGTGAGCAGTGGTGTGCATTTATTTAGTACTTGTGTAGGCAAGTACTAAATAAATACACAGTAACTGGAGTCATTGTGCAATAGCACTGGCAAATGTCTTTTAAGTGATGCTACTGTGCAGTATCCTAATATTAACAGTGCTAATATGCTACTGTGCAGTAATATTCAGCTACTGCACAATCAGTATCTCGTCTAGATGTGCCCCTTGTCAAGCTTTGTTTTAACTTTTTTAATTCCTATGGTTGCAAGCAGAATGTCTTGTGGGCAACATATGGTATGTGAATCACGGGCTATGAACCAGCGGCCTAAAGGAACCCCAACAATTTAAAGACCTGATTATGAAACCCTTACCATTAATACCTAACCCCATAGGTGATCCGGTGGAAATCAAAAGGACAATTTACAAAATAAGGTACTACTCAGAGTCATTAGGGTTATCACAAACTGGTTATACAATTCAACACTGGACTGTATAAAAAGTGTAAGAACAGAATTTAAAAAGTAGAGATATTTCCAATGTAAACTGTCTCCTCCCCCCCACCAACATATTTTCTGAAATGTTTGAAACCTAAACAGTGCAGTACTAAGAATCTGAAATATAAGAATCTGAATCATAAAACTGAGTGAAATTGATGCAACTGATTTTCACTGGCCAAATTTTACAGGGAAATAGGAAGGAAAAATGAATGGGGCAAAAAGGGAGACACTATGATGTTTTAAAGTAGGAGTGGGCAAAATACAGCCCATGGGCCAGATCCAGCCTGCCAGATGATTGGATCCAGCCTGTGGCTACCCTCACAGTGCTCCCCATAGGGCCAAGCCCCACCTGCTTCCACCCGCCCAGGCTCCCACTAGCGTGTTGCTTCTGCTGGGGCTGTTTCCAGTAGAGCCACAACCAACAGGGTGCTCCTCTGCTCCCCTCAACTCCAGTGGCAGCCACCAAGCTGAGGCTTCCCCCCCCACAGGGGCAGGAGTGGGAGGAGGAGCTGCCACTGGAGGTGAGGAGAGCACAGCAGCACCTAGCTAGCTGCAGCTACACTTGGAATAGCCTCACCAGAATGTGAATGCTGGCTGGGGCCTGGACCATGGGACTGTTCTGCTCCTTTTGCCTCCAGCTGTAGCTACAGCTGCTGCTCCTGCTCTTGCCACGCAGCTCTGGGAGGGTGGGCAGGTAGCTACAGCCAGGTGGCTCTTCTGCCCAGCACATGGAGCTCTGGCTCTAGCTCCCAGCTGCCTTCTACCTGCTCTGCCCTTCCGGCACAACAAGTGGACATGTGTGGGTGGGCGGAGCAGGTGTAGACGCCTGGAGCCAGGGTTCCATGTACTGGGCAGGAGCTGCACAGCAGAAACTTCCCACCACCCAGAGCAGCAGTGCAGCAGGGGCAGAAGCAGGAGCAGCCGCAGTTGGAGGCAATGGGAACAGAACAGCCCTGCCGGCCTGGGCCCCAGTCAGCGCACAGCTTTCAGTGGGGCTGTTCCTGGTGCGGCTGCAGCTGACCGGGTATTGCTGTGCTCCCCTCCCCTCCCAGTGACAATGTGAGCCTGGCCAGCTATAGCTGCACTTTGAACAGCCCCACCACAAGTGGTGTACTGGCTGTGGCCTGGGCCAGGGCCAGAGGGTTTGGCCAGGAGAATGGCACAGGCTACCCTGGGCAGGGCTCGGCTCCACGTGGAGCACTGTGGGGGCAGCCGCCAACCTGGCAAGCTCTACAGCATGTGCCACCCTACTCCCCCCCCCCTGACACCCCCCTATCTCCTCCCAGCTAGCTCCCAGGCAGCCCCCATGCCCCCACATGTGCACATGCCCCCTCCATACACCCCTCCCCACCCCCGCACAGGGCAGGGCATGCAGGGAGCAGATCACATCTGTCCCACTCCTGACCACTGCTCCCCACCCACCAAGCTCCATAGGGAGTTTTGGTGAGTTGTTGCAGGGGGGGAGGGTGGAAGGCCGACATGATGACCGGCCCGCAATGGCTCATCAAAACTCCCTATGTGGCCCTCAGACCCAAATAATTGCCCACCCCTGTTTTAAAGGAACTAAGTGATGCACACAATTTTGAAATTGACTCTTGTCACTTCACTTGACAACAGCAAGTTAGGGTCTTCATAAATGATAGATCTATTAAGATAAAGGCAAACTCAGCTCTAACTACAATTCTAGCTTTTCATCCAGTTTATGGATAGGTGAACTCTGGCAATACATTGAGGAGAGTCAGCACACACTAGGAGGCTGTTTGTGTGATCCATATGCTTCTTACAGTAACATTTGACTTTGTTTAAGACAGAGGTGTCAAAAGATCTGGTCCATGAGCGAGGTCTGGTCTGTGGAGCCCTATCATCTGGTCCCTGGTACTGCCACTGGACCGAGTTGATGCACAGCTGCATGTGGCACATGCTGGACTAGCCCTATGTCCCTGCCCTGTGTGCAGTGCCTGCCCCAGGACCCAAACTAGGACCTATGCCACAGACAGCACCTGCTCCAGCTGGTCTGGGACTGCATTGTATGCAGCACCCTGAGCTGCTCCAGGGCAGGTGCCACATGCGGTGCAAGTCCCAGACTGGCCACGTACAGATTCAGAGCAGCTCCAGAACAGTGAAAGGAAGTGACAAGATTCAGTATGTGGGGGTTGAGGTGGGAGCTCCATGGGCCTGACTTGGCCCACAAGGCCAGCCATACACCGTTCACTTGGCATAATGAATAACATAAAGGTGTGTCTCTGCTAGGAAAGCAGGGTACCTATACCTGTACCATTTTGGACACATGCTACAGATTTCTAGTTACCCAGCAGCTAAAGTCCAGTCAACTATTAACCAAAGGGCCAAGCTGCTGTAACCTGTGGAAGGCACAGACTGAATGCTAAAAAAATAATTTAAAGCATTTGGGAAAAGAACGGAGATGCTGCCATCATTTTCAATCTCAAAGGAACCCTGGTGAATACAATATGTAACGTGTGTCACCTTAGAAAAACTGAAAAAAACATCTCTAAAGATCAGAGGGGATGGGATTAGGTATGTGCATCCAAAAGCACAGAAGTATAAATTAAGTCGAAACCTTACATTTAAATGTACATAACACAAGGGGAAATCTATAAGGAACACCACACCTATTAGTGTCATAGATGCTGCGGAAGTTACTTGTAGGATTCCTAATGCTGTTTACAATATTTTTGTAAATATTGTAACTGTTAAATGTTGTTTTTTTCTTTTTTTGCTGGCTTCTACAGGCAACAAGCAAAAGACCCAATAGGAAAGAGCTACTAGGCACCTATCACAGTGCAGGAGTTCTCTCCATGCTGCAATATGGGAATCAGCACAAAACAAAAAAAACCCCAAACCCCAGCATTTTAAAATCGTTTGCATTAGTGAAATAAAACTGCTTTCCATGCTGGATATAGGAGACCATGCAAGTACATAGTTTGTATTTAAAAATAATGTAAGAAACAAAGGAAGCAGGGGTGGCTGGGGGGTGGGGGTGGAAATCGGGAAGTGCAGGGAGTCAGGGGTGCACTTGCCACCCCCCTTTGATTCCTGCTCCGCCCAAAGTTGAAAACCCGGTGCCTGGCAGGGGCAGCAGCAGCATTTCTAGCCAGGCAGTGCTGATAGAGTGACTTGTCTTTGTGGCTCGTTGTCATCTCCCCCCATCCCTTCTGGATGCATCATCCAGGGGCGTTAACAACCCTCTCTCCTTCTTCGAGGTCTTGATGCTCCACCACTCAAGCTCACCTTTGCTCTACAGCAGCGGTTCTCAACGGTTTTTATACCCAGGCCCGTTTGTAACCGCTGATGGCCAGTCCAGACCCAGTGCCCCTCACTCCAGACCTGACGCCCCCCCCCGCCGCTGTGTGCAAGCACGGGAGGGCCCCAAGCAGCCCCTCACAGGCTGGCAGCCATCCAGCCTGCGAGGAAAAACCACCGTTTTCTCTATTTTGAAAGTTTATTCGCGACCCGTTCATAGGTTCTTGCCACCCACTTGTGGGTGGCGACCCGCGGCGCGGGGCGAGAA